CCTGCAGTGGTGTTCTTAAGTGTGCAGCAACACACACATAGATGCTGATGGGACTGGCTAGAGCACAAGGGTGCTTCAGTGCAGGGGCTGCCTCCCAGTTAGCCCTGCACTGAAGTACCCTCGTGCCCCAACCAGCCCCTCTGCAGCATGCTGAGCCAGGTTGGAGCAGCCTTGGGCTGGCAGGCTCACCCCCCTGTGCACGTGTAGACGCAGTGCCTTGGAGCAATAAACTCTGGTGGGATATGCACCAGAGTTTACTGCTCCTTATTAATTGCATGTGTAGAGGTACCCTTTGTGTGCTTGATTCTTTTCCTTTTAGCTGCTTGAGAGCTCAATGTAAACATTTTGGATGTGTGTGGTTAAAGTTTCAGTCAAGACTCAAAGTGGGCAATTAAATAACGAAATGAGTTTTTGTGTTTTAAGAAAATATGAGAAGGAAAGTCTTTTTACATATATATTATAAAATAATGCAGATGTTCAAAATCATTTAACAAAAGGACAGATCAAAATTGAGCTCTTTTCAATAATGCTGGCACACAATTAAAAATTAAAAAGTTCACAAAATATTCCCACCATCCTTGAATTATAATCCTTTATTAAAATACACACGTCCTAAATCAGGACTGATCTCCTGGATCTTGGCTTTCAGTTCTGGCTCCAAGCGTGTTATAGACATGGAACTAGGCAAGAGAAAAAAAAAAATAGGAAAAAGATTACACTTTAATGAATGGTTGAATCAAAAATATGGATAATGATGCATCTGATCAAGGCTTGTGGATAAGCAAAGGAGGCTTCAGATTTTTTCCTGTTCTATAGGGAGAATTCAGATTCTGAGACCCATAGCAATTAGCCTAATTTGACTGGTAGTAAGTTGTTCTGCGGATGCAAGAAACGGCTGCTTTATTGTTCTACTGAACTTCAACTCGGATGGTTATGATCCAATGGGCTTGTACATACAAACTGCACCTTGAAAAGATGTTAACAAGTGTGTTATTCTACTCTGTTGAATCCAAGGAAGTCTTCTACATGTGTAACATTTCTCTCATGAGCAAAGTGAATTCAGCTGACAAGTCATACAGAGCTGCAGCATTCCAAATATATTTAAAAAAAATACCCATAAAATTAGCAAATCAATTCAATATGTTAGGGTGAACTCCTAAAAGCACTAATCTGAACCAAGAACTGACTACTTTCTCCATCCAACTCAGCGTAGCCCTGCAATGTTTTTTGCTCTACATTTCTTAAATCTATTTTTCTCTAGCAGGAAAACAGTATCTAAACTGTATTGCTGGGGTGATAAGAATTACAGTAGTGTAAGCATTAAGCAAGAGATGAACAAGCCTTCTGGGTTTCAGAAATCAAAAGCTAGCGAAGCTGTCCTCTAAGTCTTAAACAAACCCTTAAGCTCCAATTTCAATATTTAATTCATTGCTTACTTGATGCAGCACTTTTGATTCCAGTGAATAACACAAGCAAAATGTAAAACAATGGAAGTTTTAACACGTAATGCAATTAGATTTGTCATCTACAGCTACACTTTAAATGCAACCTGTCCATGCTTCTTTATGATCTCAGGGACATGAATGTTAGTTTTAAGTCTGTTTCTGAACTATTAATTATAACTGAAAATATATTAAAAGAGATGCAAAACTCTCTTGGTTAAAATCCTATTGGCCGAACCACAGGCAGACTACAGTTAAATTGATGTTTATAATTCAGAGAGAATTCCCAAGTGAAAGTGAATAGGATCTGAAAATGTGTATCCATTCAACCACCACCATAATGCATAAAAATGGAACTTTAACTCCTTTCACTGACGCCAGGCATTAGCAAGTCTAAATTTCTTGTCCTGGCATTCAAGTCCCTATATTGCTCAACTCCAATCTGTATTCCTACTCCTCTGCTTTTTTTCATTTGTGCCATCCTCTCTCTTCCATCAATGATGCCAACCTTAAAGCTTTCTTTACCTCCTTCCAAGAAGCTCCTATGGACAGGAACGCCTTTCAAACCTGGTTCTCAAGCCATCTTATTCAAATCTCATCTAAAAAATAAGACTGTTTCTGATGCTCCACCTGTCAGGGGTTAACAAATCTATTTGCTTAGAGGTTTATTATTCCCCTTTAAGTTGTACTTCTTCCTTACTGTGCATCTTTGGTAACCATTTTCCCCCCTGTTGTGCCCGTATTTTGGATCCAACACTTATATCAAAATTTAAACTACAAATTTTGAATAGCAAGGACCATTTCTTTCCTTGTTTCTTTGAAGCATTCTGCATGCATCTGAATCGCACCGTTCACGTAACAATAAGAAAGCCATTTGTACCTTTTCTGAGGGAACAAAGCACAGCACAGAGGTGTAGCAAACACCAAACTACAACAAAACAAAAATGAGATACAGGTATTAGTTTAAAATCAAAAAGCAAAATTCTGAACAGACGAGAGCAGGGCACTCTTAGGAAAGTAGCCATTTCATTCTCATTACTTTTCACGCATGATAGAACAAGAATGAATGAAGTCCATCCTCCACTACCGGGCCCCTTATATAGTCCCTCTATCTCTTTGAAGACTGCAAAGAGATGCATCACTCCTCCACTTAAATATGTGAAGAATTTCAATTCCGTGGCATTTAATTCGCTTTGAATGTTGCAACATAAGGGGCTAGGCTCTGTGAAATCTACTGATTTTAATGCAGGTTGAAGAAAGGCATCACATTACAGGTTGAGATTCAACATTATCCCTTGCACAGGCAGGGCGCTTGTACAGGACAGTCGTCACAATGTACACGTGATGAAAATGTTACTTGTATGGCTTAATTGTTGCAAACTTAACTACATCTGGATGTAGTTTAGTTTGCAACATTGCAGGTTGCAATGATGCAGCTGGCAGCTCGCCCCCCAGTCGCGGGAGAGGTGGGCAGGCTCCGCAGGGAAAAAAAAAAAAAGATTGGGCCCCTCACTGCTTTTGCCTTCAGCAGGCTCCTGCAGTTGGCAGGATGCCTGGCGCTGCCCAAGAATGGGCTGGCTTGCCCCTGGGACAGTGCGAGAAGGCAGCAAGAGGGTGGCTGGCTGTGCTGATGACTGCAAAGGTGGTGAGGATGGTGCATGGGGTGTAGGGCTGCCTGGGAAGGCTGCAAACTTCCTCAAACCCACCCTGTGCACCATCCCTGCTGCCTTCTCCAGTTGCCAGCACACCCAGCCACCCTCCTGCCACCTCCCTGTTCTTCCCCAGGGGCAGGGCAGCCTGTTGTGGGGCAGACCCAGGTGTTCTGCTGGCCTCAGAAGCAGCAAGGGGCCTGATCCTTTTTTGGTGGAGCCTGCCTCTCCTGCAGCTGGGGGTCAGGCTGCTGGTGGCATGAGTGGCCCCTGAACTATGGGGGCCCCCGGTTTTCTGTCTGTGGTGGTGGTGCCCCCCAGGGCTATCTGGGTGGGGTGCTAGCAGGCCAGATGCTGCCCCAGCTCAGCCTGCTGGAAGCCCGTCGAGCACTGCTCCCTAGGCAGGCTCAGGGTAGAGTTAGATCAGGCCAGGTGCTGCCTCTGAGCTGGGATAGCACCCAGTCCAATAGCACGCTACCCGGGAGGCCCTGGGGGCATTGTTCCTACCAAGGGAAGGACCGGGGCCCCCTGAAGCTCAGGGGTTGCTCGGCCCACCAGCAGCTCACCTGCTGGCTGCGGGAGAGGCAGACAGGCTCCACCAAAAACCAAAAACAAACAAAGAAACAAAAGGATTGGGCCCCTTACCATTACATGATGGAAAAATTGGAACAGTTTAGTCTTCAGGATTTTATTCTATGCCTCACCCTTTCAATTTAGGGGGCACAGAATAAAACCTTGGGGATTAAACCCCCATCCCGTGTACAAGCGCCCACAGTGATCAAAACCTCATTTTTGAATCAGCTGCAAGACAGAGCTCTTTTCTTTGCTGATTTGGTTTAATAACACTATCACCAATAGCTGTCATAGGAAAACCATGGAAACAAGACCTTCTTCTGTTTCAGCAGGTAGTACTGAACAAAATGAGAAGATGTAAATAATACAGTTTTGCTGACATTTCACAGAAGAAATGAGTCACTTTAGTTGTTTGTTGGCTTTCCTTCCTAAATCCAGATACACCAAACTTTTAAGGGAACTCTAGCCAACTCTTAAAGATAGCAGATGCCTCTCAAAAATAGCAGCAGACAAGCAATCTAAAGGAACTCACCAGAATCCAACTAATCCAACTTGAATGGGGGCACTCATCCATGGGAATCGCTGTGTTAAAAATAAATATTACGAAGTTAGTATGTTGCCTTTTTCCCCCTCCAGGTTTTTGGATGTTTCTTATACTATAAGAAGCAGACTGACAGCAGTTAAAATCTAGGCACAGTGCAGACACATGCAAACTCTGCAGATACCTGACCTGCACTAACTTACTTTGACCCTGATCTGAGAACCTGCTCCAAAGCTCTTTGGTATCAGTGGAGTGCCTCCCATTAATATTAGTGTGCATTAGTCTACTGAGAACTAGATTTCCAGATGACTGACCACTTATTTTATTCATAACTTGATCCTATCTTGGATCTAGGGACTAGCTCCTAGGTAAGGCTGCTTTATGCCAGCACACTGTGGCTATGAAGCCAGAGTCTGGTCTGGGAGGTTTCCCCCACTGCAACTGAAACCCTACATTAGCACTGAACAAGAGCAGACTCTGATGGTACATCCCACTTCTCCAGCATAAGGAATTTGGCTAAGACATCATTATTCTGTGTTGATTCTTGGCTATAGCTTCAGTCTTTTGGGGACTATTATGCTATTCTAACTTATACCCGAGGACTTTCTTGGCCTGCAGCAGCTGTCACCCGAAAGTCATGGGAATGCCAACATAAGCTATGTTCATATCACCTTCCCTCACCACATACACTGCATGTTTCTCAGCTATCAGTTCCTAGAGATAAAACAAGTACAGCACAGTTGTGAAAGCCTTACTCCCCTTGAAATTAAAGGAAAAATAAATAGAAACTGTGATTTTTTTTTTTTTAGTAAAGCAATATAAATATTGTGCATATACACGTGTATAAACAGGAACTAAATAAACATGATAGGTATGGTTATTTTGTTACGTTGCACTTTTTTGCAGTTATCAATTGTACTGATAAAAAAAGGAAAAAGGAGGCTTTGTGCAGATCCTTAGATTATGTTTTAAGAGATTAAATAAAAACTGGTTAGAATTTTAGCTGGAGTTAATCACTAATGAAATGAAACGTATTTTAAGACGACTGCTATGATGGGCACTGGCATTACCATAAAATGAGTCCCTCCAGAAAAGCAAGACACGCACAATTGCTACCATAACAGTATGTGGATTTAAAACAAAACCGTTAATTAGTCACAATTACGCACTGCAGTGGATGAGTATAAAGTTGATGTTTCCGTGAGAAGCAATCCTAAAGCTGTGAGGGTTGGGGGGGAACTGGTGAACAAAAGACAGAACTGAGTGTCAGTGTTTTAAGGGGGGAAATGGAAATGCTAGGGAATAAGGACCATGTTTAAGAAAGTATGACAGTGGCAGGGCTAATTAATTGCAGCAAAGAGAAGGAAAACAGTAATAGACCAAGCTCTCTCTCTCAGGACTGAGACAGAGGAAGTAACACAGCTATTCGTTCCCCTCTGTTGGAGATGGTCTGAAGTCCAAAAATGGGTGCAGAAGAGAACTGTCCAATTCATCAATTATCTGCAAAAACAGATAACAAAAAAGGCAACTTTGTCAAAGGAGAACAGACTCAGTGCTGCCCCAGTTCTGGCATTGCACTCAAATGCCTTCATTGGACTTTTACCCCAGAAATATTTGTGCAAAAGACTTCAGTTTTTTCCACATAGGGAAAGTTAAGAAATGATGACAACACTGGGGGAATAAGAAAAGGCCTCAAAGATGGTAGCGTGTGCCTAATCACAGGTCACAGAATAGGATCAGAGGATTGAGGGATTATTCTCGCTCTTATATTTCCAGGCATACAAATCAGATTCCTCACTCTGAAAGACTGTCTGTAGGAGAACTGATGGCTGACTCCAAGCAAGAGACAATGAGAACTGAGCTATTGGTACAGTATAAAGGCAGCGCCTCAGTTGGGCATAACATTATTTCCCAAAAAGACAGAGCAAACCTTTAATCACCTTGACACAGGGTAGTATCTAACCTTCATCTGAGTGGGACATTACACCAGAAAACACAAGTGTGTTCAGTAGCACGACTAACGGTGACAAGTTCATTTCACAGAACTTTCATTATAAAAATATCTAATAAATTGAAACTTATGGCCTTTCTTTTCCAAAAATGTTGTCCGAACACCTCAATGTTAGGGGAGAAGATGAAGCTAAAATGGCTTAGTTTTAAAACTGTATCTGGGAAGGGCAAAAACAAACCCCACATGCCTAAGCAGCAGGAACGTACACTTACTGAACACAAGCAAAACGTGCATCAGTACAAAGAGATAACAAAAATCCACAGAAGTGTAAAATGATGAAAAAATGTAATGAACTAGAACTCTATCATTTGACCCAGGAAGGCAGCAATTCTGACTTTAATTTCTAGATATTGTGTGTGCTAGGCTTAATGACATCAGGGTTAGGTAGCACACACAGAAGATGCAGAAAGGATAATTAAAGCTAAGCAAAAAAAGGCAAGAAGGAGCAGTGGGATTTTAGCAACTGCTTCATCTTTTGTTGAATCTTCCAGATTGCTAATAGTGCATAATTTCATTGAACAATAAAAGGATAGACAGAGGGTCCCTGAATGCATCATCTCTTGGTCATTTAAGAATAAAGTTAAGTAAAACGAGACTGTAGAACAGGTGCTCTTTCTAGGTAAGGAAGAGTTGGGAGCAGTTGTTTAAGTTGCAGACTAAAAATATGATTAAATGGTTATAGTGCATTAAAGAAAAAAAAAAAAAAAGGGAGAGGAGTCAACTTCACTATCAGGAATGGTATGCAGAACAAAGCAGAGAGCAGGTACTGATCTTGATTGCGGGATGAAATGGATTTGTGAAGCACATCAGAATGGATTTAAATGTCTGGAAAAAAATTGAGACAACAGGAAGTTTAAAAAGGTTGTTTGTTTCTTCCAAACAGTGACCCAAGAAGAAGAGTTTAAACACAGCTGAAATGAATCTACAAACCCTCCATTTTTGAAGAACCATAGTCTTACTGCTCCTTCTATGGGTGGCTGATATAATGGCCTGGCTCTTAGACCCAGCTAGCCAAACACGAGTCAACAGAAATGAAGAAAACAAACAATTTACATCCTGATGATCAGGAACCATTGCATTGCTTCATTATGAATTATACTCACTCAGTTTAGGGAAAAACATATGGACATACTTTAGTGCTTTCAAAAGGAGAAATAATCAGGTTTGTCAAAAAAATAAGCACGCTTATATGTCAGTGATGCTTAGCACTACTTACGAGGTACTCTAGTATAATGTATTGTTAGCATTAAAATGCTCTCATGTAAAACAATGTGCGAGAACACAATGACAATGCTTTTCCAAGACAGTAATGTTCACGTGTCTTTTCAATTGAACTGGAAATAAGACAAGATACCCCTGACATTGTTAAAAAACAATGAAATAGAACAGAGAAGATGCTCTATGGTAGAATATGAAGAAATGCAGGCTGCTGAATGACAACTGCTAGTTTATTTTCTGGCCTTCTGGTTATCTGCCAGTGATGAGCTTTGGCAGATGCAGAAGAATGATTTTCTGGAATGCTGGTGGTGTGCAAATCAGAGTGAAACAAATGGGTTAGTAAAGCAGTTTGTAGATGGTGTCACAGAACTGCATGTGGGATGGTGCTTCTGGAAACCTCAAGAGGACATGCGCAAGCTGCTTGTTAAAAATGCAGCTCATTCCTTAATGGGTTTAGAGCTACTCTGTTATCAAGTGTTACCACTGACTAACTGCAGAGCAAGGTTTCACCTGAACTCACAGTCTCTGAAGCTGAGGGGAAGGAACAGGAGAGCATGATGGTACCAAAGAACACTGAGTAGCCACTGAAGAAACATCTCATGTGTGTTGATCTGAAAAATTCACAACACCCTTATGTTGATTATACCGCACAATGAATAAAGGATGTTTGACGCCGACCCTCATGGAATCATCCTTCACTCTTCTCACAACAAATCTCATGTTTTTCTCCTAGTTAGGTGGATATGACAGACATGACATTCCCCCACGGTATGAATGCACAGAATTAATCTGAACTTGCAACTCCTTTGATTTCAGGAAAGAAATATATGTGGTATTTTGAATATTCATTTTTTCAAGTTTGTTGCTGTTGTGTGAGCTGCTTGTAATGATGCCTCACGTAGTCTTAATGGTCAAAAGCAAGTCCAAGGACGAACAGACAGGCCAATCAGTATGACTTATTTAAGCTACGGAAAATGCAATTAGCGTACATTGGCGCTTCGCTTCTCAGGCAAGACAGCCATTCAGTTTAAATTTTCCACAAACATTTCGATTCCAGAATTCAACAACTAGGTGCCCTGTATTAGCAGTGCTATAAGCACATTTTTTTTTAAAGAAAAAAGCTGCCCTCAGGAAAAATGTAGTTTTCTAAATTTGGGGAGAAAAGGAAGATCAATTAAGTAGTTGTTAACACACAGTTTTCATTGCTGAAATACAACTGCTAATCTAAACTCAACAAATCCTAAGATTAAGAAAAACAGAACTAAAACAAATAGAATTTTAAGACTTCCTTGGGGGTAACTAAACACTTCATCTAAAACTTGACCCAAAGTTAAAACACCAAACCAAACAAAACCACTTTTACAAGGGATTATCAGGAAGATATTGGGTGCTGACAGATGTGCAGTCCCCGCTGTAACTCACGGTGCTTCCCAGAAAGCACCATGAGTTAAAGTGATCCCCCCATGTGCAACCCAACAGATGTTTGCTCTTGGGTTGGCAGGGGTGGGGGACCAAGCTTGACTTCAGAGCCGATTCAGGAGGAGCTGCGGCCTCTCTTGCCCAGGCCCACCTCCCCCAGGGGGAGAAGGGAAGGAGAGGGATCTGTGGGCTGGGGTTTATCCAGCCTGTGCTGAAGAGAGGGCAGGTGGATTAAAGCTCCCTTCCAGTGCAACCAGGCAAACACCAGCCCGCAGCTTCACCCACCTCCCTTCTTCCCCTCCCATCCTGGAGACAGCACTGAGGGTGGAGCTGGGCTGCATCAACCCAGCCTTGTTCGTGTGCTGGGACTAACAGAAGTTAATGAAACTGCTCCACTTGGGAGCACCTTCATCTGAGCCCTCATTATATGAGGGTTAATTTATTGCATGATCAAGCATTTTTAAAGCACTCTGCAGCTGTACACCTCTGTCAAGGCATAGCTGTACAGCACTTTTAGAGTGACAAAACACCACTTCTGTCAGCACCCTATATGTCCTTACTGCTCCTAACAACAGGCAAACATTCTCATGCTGCTGGCTATGCCTGACCACTGTATCTCTCCATAGCTATCAACGCAAAATTCAGTCATTAGCTTGAATGGGCAAATATGAAACCAACCCTTAGCGCTGAAGAAAGCCATGACTTTGGTATCTCACCTGAAATCTGCAAATAATTCACAGCATAGTAACATGGGAGCCCAAGTCATAATATCATCATTGTTCTTTTTAAACATATGTATTTTAGTTTATATTTAAATTCACAGATTAATAAAATACAAAGCCCTTTACTAAAAAATTCCCTTAATTTAAATGCATTTTTAATGTAAATACAAAAAATACACTTGATGAAACTTGCCATTGTAGCAGCTGGCTCTCTCAGAATTTTAAAGGATAATTTTTAAACCAAATTTTTAAAATACTATTTCACAGCAGCTAAGTAGTGACTCTATCTGTTGACCAATGCCTAAAAGAACAACTCTGAAATTATGCATGCTATATTTCTTTAAAAAAAAATAAAAAA